TTCAAGTATGATATATTTGATATATTGCAAGAACTTTTGTAAATGCCACAATGTACTCCCACCAAGCAGAATAACAACAAAAAAGAACCCTTGACCTAAGGCCTAAATCATCCATCAATAACTCTTTATGAGTCCCTTATTGTATGAGGAATTGAAAATGGTGGGGTTTTTAAAAATTATTTATTTATTTATTTTGTAAATATATTGTTCCTTTTGCTTGTAGAGTTGGAATTCTTTGAAGAACTTTCTATCACAGGTGCTGGTTAGTTACCTCGATGCATAGTTCAAGTAGAATAAATAATAGCCATTTTGTATGTTCCATTTACTACTTGGTTAGCCTGCAACTTCTCCCCTTCCCAGGACAATAGTCTCTCCAGTGCTATGGCTGGAAGGTTGGCCCCTGTCCCCTCATTTCCATTTTGTCTGATTTTCCTCAGCTGCACTGATTTCCTTTTTTCAATGTGCTGTGGGCTGTCCCTGGTGGCTCCCTAAGTTAACAGAAGACTACACAAGTGGTCCTGCCAATAAGATCAGGGTGAGAAATCCCCTCCCTCAACTCAATGCCAGACTTGCATTCACAGTCTGAGATAAAATGTGTTTTGTGGAAACAACATTTCTCTGTTGACTCATCTTGCACTTATTCTCAACAAAACTCTCAAGCTGTTTTCACACATGCTGCTGTGAAGCGAAACTCCTCCATCTTGTTGAGCAAATGGTGACTGGACCTGGGAAGCTCACCCACAGGAAGAATTCTCATCTTTAGATTTATCTGAGTATAAAACTTAGGAAAATGAAGATAGCCCAGAAAGTGTCATGTTTGTGAATATGGATTGTCTTGGAGAATAACAGCCATTTTTTCCTACTTTCTACTGATTAAAATACAATAATAGTTTAACTTCATTCATTCATTAATCAGATAGTAGTTCATTTCAAAAGCCATTCATCCAAAAAGCAATTCATCTAAACATACATTTATTCAAACCATCCACCTGTCCACACAGCCATTTCCCACCCACCCATTCAATGTTCAGCAAGTGCTATATGTGGAGGATCTGCATCTGGCACTAGGATATGGGTGACAACCAGACATTCTTTATTTCTGTTTGCATTATAGATAGGCTGTAAGTGTGCATAAGTGAATATTACAATTGTAGAATTTGGCACCAGCCGTGAAGAAGATAAATCTGTGATGGAAGAAGAGATACTTTAGATTTAGTGGATAAGTCTACTAAGAGGTGGCGTCTGAACTGTGACTTAACCTGGAATCCATGTGCTGGTCTTCATTTCCAGTTCTCTTTTTGAAGAGCTTTGGACTGCAGTGGGTGGTGTGCATCATACAAAGGACCCACGGTAGAGCATCGTGAGGGAAAGGATACAACGATCTTTGCCTTTCTTTATCTTTTCTGTTGTCTCAAAACAAAGATGGATTTGGGCAGGAATTTTGCTTGTTATTTATCATCTATGTGGGATATGGCACATGCATGGTATCATACTGTGATATACAAGAGAACACTTGATAAAGAAACCTTAATGTTCAACTGTCAGGTTTGGTGATGCATTCAAGGGTCAGGCTTGGTAGCATGAAGTTCTCAACTAAGCTATTTGGGTGAAAAAATAAATATTGACTTTGCTTTTTCCAGGCAATGTGTTGGGAGAACTCAAGTGCATGTTCTGTAGAGAGTATTGAATAAATATATCTTTTTATGGTGTTTGGTTTTCTTCAGGCTACTCTGTCCTATTATTGCTGAGATGTTTATTGAGTGTAATGCTAGTTCTTGGGACAGGATTTAAATTTGTGGCACATTAGCCATACATTGTATTTGTTCTACACAGTGTAAATTTGAAGTATGGGCAGCCATCACTGTGTACAGCAGTGTGGAACTGTAAAAATGACCATTCAAGTTGAAACCATGCAAAGTAAACTTAACAGTCATTAGGGGAGAGTATTATGACCTATTAAAATCTCCTTACTATCGTTTATAAGAGTATAAGGAAATGAACAAAATAGTATTACTAGCACTTATTTAGTACAATGTGATTGCAGACATTAGAAACATTGATAATTGAAGTCCTTTGTTTCTTTGAAACACTTATCAAGAGTAGTCCTGAACAATGCTTGCCTACTTTTTCTCAAGTAATGATGTAAATTGAGCATCTTTTTCTATGATTTGGCTAATTGTCATATTCCTTTCAAGTTTGGGTCTCTTGTTCATCTTTTTTGCTTTCAATGTTGTGAAATACCAAGATTTTTGAATTTTCCCTTTAGCACATCTTCCTCCTTTTCATCTTAATGACTTTGCTCATTTCTCTCAGTAAATGTGTTTGCATTAAGAACTGTCCATTTCCCTAGTCAGCTATTTCTTCTATGACTTCATGGATTGCCATTTGTTGTTTCTTTGTTACACATTGATATTTGTTAATCAATCCCCTCTTAATTATCCATGTTGGTGAAAGGTTATGTGGGTTTATCAGTGAGAGACCAGTGGACTCACTGTGTTTTCTACTGGCTGAGTGAGAATTAGATACTCAGTGACCAATCAATGATAGACATTGAAAGAAGTAATGTGACAGTTATTGTTATCTATGTAGGAGTGATTTGTAGACTGAAAAAAGAAATGGAGTTTTCACTTTATGCAATTACTCAGAATTAATATTCTTTGGTAATCAAAATTCAAACCATATTGATAGAGAACGGTTATTATTTAACCAAACTATGGTAACTGAAATTTTTGCATATTGGAGCCATAGAAAGTGAGGACTGCCTGTAGTTGCTAGAAGTTAGTTACAAGAGAATTATACATAGACATACAAATTTCCACTTTATCTGGGAATAAACCAATAACTAAGTAGTAGTGGACTGCCCAGGGTATATGTTTTCCCATTTGCTCCCCCCTCCTTCTCACCACTGTGTGGTGTCCATAGGATCCTGGCCTCTATTGCTATATCATGGGATGCGATCGTACTAAATACAAGGGGTTATAAGTGACAAGGGGATCTTAAAATTAAATTTTAAGGTTGAAATATAATTTTTAAATAAAAAATTAAAATAAAGTCCCATTAAAATTATTTGGTTATGGTAGCCACCTATGGTTAGCAGCTACTGCATTGAAAACATAAGATATAAAACATTTCTATCACTGCAGAAAGCCCCTTTGTCAGCATCTTCCATAGGTAATGATGTGTATAAGCTAAGTTATTATGGACCTGGGGCTATCAATAATATTGAAAATCAAAAGTATTACCTGCCCCCATTCTAATTACTTTTTTTTTTTGGTTTACACACTATGCATTTATTTCTCATAGTGATGGAGCCTGAGAAGTTTAACATCAAGTTTCTGGCATATTCATTTCCTGGTGAGGGCCATCTTCCTGGTTTGCACATGGCCACCTTCTTGCTGTGTCCTCACATTGTAGATAAAAACACTAACCCCACCATGGGAGCCTCACCCTCATGACATCATCTAACCCTAATCACACCCAAAGGTACAATTTCCAAATACATCACCTTGGGGATTAGAGCCTAAACATATGACTAAGTTTGAGAGACACACACATTCAGTCCTTCCACCCTATCCCCTTTACTCAGTTCTCCCTACTGGTAAGAGCTTGTCTAACTACACAATAATACCACAGCCAGAAAACTCACATTGGTACAGTCCACCAGACCTATTCAGATTTCATCAGTTTTATGTGTCCTCATTTGTTTGTATGTGTGTGGTTATGTGTGTGTGCATGCAAATGGATGTATTTTTATGAAGTTTTTCACATAAGTGGTAACTTTGTGTAACTATCATCTTAATCAGTATTTTAACTGTGCCATCAATATAAGAATCATTTGTATTCTCCTTTTATAAACACTGTCACCTTCTGATCTCTAAAACTTTGTGATCATTGATCTTTGCTATATCTCTGAGACTTTGTTATTTTGAAGATGTAGTATAAATTGAATCCTTCAGTATGTGATTTTTGACATTGAGTTATCACACAATATAATGCCCTTAAGATTATCTAAGTTATATTATGCATCAGTAATTTGTTCCTTTATTTTAAACTTCTTTTTGGCAGTACTAGAGTTTGAACTTACTGCCTTGTGCTTGCTAGGTAGGTGCTCTACTGCTTGAGCCACACTCTTGGCCTGATTTTAACTTTAGTTATTATTCATTTATGGTCTTGTGTTTTTGCTGAGGGCCAGTCTAAGGTAATAGTCCTTCTACCCATGGCCTTCTGTGTAGCTGCAAATATAGGAATGTAACACCATGCATGGCTTGTTATTTAAAATAGGGTCTTGCTAACTTTTTTGTCCTGGCTGGCCTTGAACCTTGTTTCTTCTATCTCCACCTTCCAAGTACCTAGAATTACAGGCATGAGTCACTGTACATAACTTCTTTCTTAAAACTTTTTAATTCTAATAATTTTTTTTGCTAGTAATTTTTTTCAAAACATTTTATTAGCATATATTAATTGTACAGGGGGTTTCATTGTGACATTTCCATATATGCTTACAATGTACCTTCATTAAGTTCACCTCCCAGCATCATTCTCTCTCATCTCCTTTCCCCCTACTTAAAATAATTTCAACAGGTTTCATTGTTCTATTTTCATACAAGTATATAAAATACATCAGCCACATTCACCCTCTCCCCTCCCACGAGTACCCCAACTCCTCACAGGACCTGTTTTACATTTATGTCCTTCATTTTTTAAAAGTATATATTCATTGTTCAAAGGGGTTTCACCATGGTCAAATTTTTTTTCTTTCATAAACTGAAGGGAACCAAGTAAGATTTTGAGTAAGAGAGTTTTTTCAGGGAGAACCCTTGTGTTTTTTCCATGTAGAAACATTAATGACATTGGAATTTCTGTACTCCATGGCATAGTATTTGAGATTACAGTCTCAGGGAAGAGGATTTATGTGCAGTGACTTAAACAGTTTCTACTATCTTTTAGGTAATGGCGGCAAAGACGATGGGAATTATGATGATGTTGGTAGTGGAAGGTGATGGAGCCAGTGTCTGATTCCCTACGTCAGAAGACGCTTAGCTGGCAAAGGTGTGCTTTTTATACCTGCACATAAAGAAACTGAGAGTGGCTTTTAGGATCCTTTAGGAGGACTGACAGTATGTAAATGTGAAGCTGTTATGGAATTACCAGAACATCTGTTTTGTTTCCACAGTTTTTCTTTAGACATGTTTAAATATTTTTTCACATGCATAAAATGAAATTCAAATATGTTGAAATCTCATGATCAAGGTGATGTTTTTATGGATCCTTTTGGGTTACAGGTTCTACTAATTTAAACATTAAGAAAGCCATTATAGTGTCTGTGCTATCCAACTACATCTTGAAAAATGACATTGGGGTGAAAAGAATTACAAATTGTAAATGCATTTAGGCATTTGAAATATTTTCTCAGTGTTTATTTTACACTTTGGATTTCTTAATTGTTAATAATTATGTTTTAAAATTCATACAGTTAGAACTGCTGTCAGTGATACTTAGGTTATGAGGGGCAAGAAAAATACAGACAGGGATCAAAGAGGAAATAGAGATAGGTAGGTGAATGGAATGCAAAAAAAGTAGAGGTAAAGTTTTCAATCTGAAACGAATAAAGATCTAGTTCCAAAATGATGACCCCAGTGTTAATGAGATAGTCTTTAAATCACCTGTTCACACAGTGGTTGCAAAGAGGATTATACTGAATAAATGGAAGCCTTAAATGGAATTCATTTCCATTGACTTTTTTTTTCTTGGTGGGACTGGGATTTGAACTCAGGGCTTCACACTGGCAAAACAGGCGCTCTGCTTCTTAAGCCACAGCTCCAGTTCACCTTTGACCCTTTCTTACATTGTTTGTTCTGCCTTTACACTATGGTATAAAATGTTACCATTAAGTATTTAATATTATTAAATAAAAATAAATGTTTAATATTGTTAAATATAATATCTTATTATTATTATTTCCCCCAATATTGTTATTGAGGTAAAACCTTTATGCTGGCCTAGTGAAGTAGATACAAACATTAATCCAATACTAGTAAGAGGATTAATATCAATGCTAGGCTAAGAGATCCAAGAAAGCAAGCCTAGCTCCAAAGAAGGAGTTTCTTCATTAATGCCCTGGAGTAGTGAATGTGTTTCTTCTACTGTTGTTTTAAAGGCATGGTAATCATTGGCAATTGACTTTATTAGGAGAAAAGTTTAAGCAAATGGAAAGAACAGGGTTTTTCCCTTTTTCACGCTTTGGAATTTAATGATAAATGCTGACAAATATTTGCATAGAAGTCACTGTCTTGAAAAAGTCTGTTTCTTGACACTCTAGCAATGTAGTTCATTGCTGAACTTTTTTCCCCAGTGAATTGCTTCTTTGTTTTTAGAGACTTCCTGATTAACTTATTCTATATTGGAAGCTACCACAGTGACATTAGGATGTCTTTTGCTTCCTGTTTTGGAAACAAAATTTGGAAATCACTTGCTGCTGAGTTTCTCACATTTTTTTTTGATGTAGAATTTTCTGCATTTTTATTGTTGTAAATGATTTAGCCTATTCTTTAATTTTGAATGGATCACACAATCATCTTTATGTGTCCAGCTGTCTTTTGTTTGAAGACATGTCTTAAATTGTTCACTGCTGAATCAGATTAAAATGACTTTATTGTTATGCTATTAAAAAAATCTTTTGTTTGTCACAATGCTCAGACACAGAGCAAACATTTTTTTCTTATTTTGCAGGAGTGGGTCTGTTAGATTCCAAGTCAAAGTGAACAAAAGTCTGAGCATGTTTATGTTAGGCAGGAACTAATTTCAACTTTGCTAATTTTGGAGGGGAACTTATAGAGGTCAAATGATTTTATCCCTACTAAATCTTCACACATGCTGAGCCTATGCAGTACCAAAGAGCTATACCCCTGTCTTGAGATTTGTGTGCTTTGGAGGGCGGGGGTAATTTAAATCAATGAGTTAGGATCTAGAGAATTGTTTAAGAATTTTTTGCAAGCTATAGACCACAGGAAAACATTGAATCACACATACACACACATGTACACACATGTATACATATAAGTACATACACATCATTTTGAAAACAATTTTAGAAGATTCATAGAAGTCCCAAGGCCGTTTTCTGAGTATGGTTAGAGAACTCTATTTTAGTTATTTCTGGGGAAATCTATAAATTCAAGAAGAAAAGTCCCCTAATGGTGAGCTACATGAAACTGCCCCACCCCCCCACCTCCTACATTATACCACTCTCCATCCCTCTTCTCAAGCCAAAACCTTGAGTCCTTTTTGACTAGCCTCTCTCCTTTGCCTATTAGTAAGTCTTGTTGATCCTACTTTAGGAATACATCTCAAATTCTTTGCACGTCCATTGCCACCACCATAGTCCAGACCTATTGTCTTTCTCACCTAGTCTCTCCAATAAAGACATCCCTAGTGGCCTTCTGCTTTCATCTTTATTTTGCTTGTATCTTTCTATCCAGTTCTCTAAAAGAGAACTCAGATTCTGTTGTAAACTTCTACTCCCCATTGTGTGAAATGTTTCAGCAGCTTCTACACACACATAGAATAAATACAGGCCACTGACAAGGCTATCAAAGGTCTGCATTCTTTTTTAGAGCCTGCTAGCAAAGGGGCAAACTCATTCCCTGTTTAGCAGGTTTGGCTTAGAATCTTCTTCCCCCTGAGTTACAAGATTTTTTCCTTTCTCATCTCAGCCCTTGGCTCTTTCATAATGCTTACCTCATTTGGATGTATTGGTTGCCTTTTTCTGCTCATTGTGTGGAAGGTACACCTTTGGAAGAAAAGGGAAGCCTATATCTACTTGTGCTACAGTCTCGTTGTCTTATGTAACACCTGCCAGGTAGAAGGTTCTCAAGTAATTAATATTTATTGAATGCATACATGAAAAACATGCAAAGTTCTCTGAAGGATTTTGGCTTTATCCTTTCCTGCAAAATTTTGGCTTTATGGATCTTCATTTAATAATTCATTCAAAAGTTCATTCATGAAACATTTGTTGAATCCCTCTCACTATAAAATACTCTCACATCATTTTAGGTTGCTAGCTCACAGATGACTGAATGAGGGGGGGCATTGAGTCAGATTCTGTGAGAAAGCCAAATTAGCATAATTAAGCTGTCTTTCATTTTTTTGAAATAAAGAATTTTTTTCTATCAACATTAATATTTGTCACAGAATATATTTCACCATTGTTATTAAAAAGTATAGAACAATGAATGTTCTCTTCAGATCTTTTCCTAGTTTTTCTTGTGTTAATGGTCCATAAATTTTCTATTTAAAAGGCATGACCTTTGACCTTTGTTGTGTGTGTAGGAAAAGTCATATTGTATTATTTTTTTCTATGCCTTAAACTAGGTAAGTTTTAGATTAGGAATTTACAACTCAGCCTTTTGGGGGGCAGGTTTAAACGTATTTCTCTTAATTATGTACATTTAAGTAAGTTGAGTATGGAAGTGTCACTGATCTCTTAAGAAACCACAGTTTCTGGAACATTTTTAAGAAATTACTCATGAGGAAGAATTGCTTCTAAGACTAATCAATGAATGAAGTACATTTAGTTTATTCTTTTACCATACTTTTATTGAAGCCCCATATTAAGCTCTATGTCAGGCACCAAAAATGGTAGTTGAACCTGTACATAAGCATTTCCTAACTTCTAAGAATACTTTATCTACTGAATATACCTCCCCTTTCACTCTCCTTGCCTTTTTTTTTAAGCTTCATCTTCCCTTTTGTCCTCCCATTTTCTCTCTTTTTCTTTTCCTTCTGCATTTTTAGTTTGGCTGTTCTTTGTCTTCAGATGACATTTGAACTGTGATGTTTAGGATGTTCCATTGACTTGGCCAACTATATGGAAGATGTAATGGAAACTGGAATTTTTAGGGGCTCTTAAGTGGGATGAACAAATCTAAAGTTGGAATCCGTGTGTGGGAAGTTGCCCTGCGTCTGTGGATATTGAACCCCGTGTCACTCTGGCTACTCTGTGGGTTTGGATGATCAGGACATGCTCTCCTCCTTCACAAGCTGGTGAAATGAAAGTGTGTACACGTTCGGTTGCTATCAAATTATAATTTATGATTCATGTGGTTTTCCAGAAGATATCAGGTAAATTGCAACTTCTTAGCATTATTTTCTGTTCTATAGTAGACTTAGAGCTTTTTGCAGCATTTTTGAAATGATTTTTATGCTAGAGTATATTATCTATAGTTCAAAACCATCCCTCGCTGGGGATGATTCTTAATTTTTTTTCAACTACTAGTGAACTTTATTTCTTATATTCCAATATTCCTCCAACTCTTAACTCCTAGGAGCATTTTTATAACATTTTCATATTTGGTGTGTGTTCCCATTCCTGTGTTTATATATCATGGACAGACACTTTGAGTGACAGTTAATTTTCCTTTTCAGTACTCTCCTAACCAGAATTATCTAAATCCCAAACACTTCTGTCTCTCTCCAGGACAATACCAATAATAATAGATTTTCATAATGGTTATCCAGAGACGTCGCAAGACCCAGAAACGACTTCTATATCATTAAGAAAAGGGGAGAGGGAATCCTTGAGAAAATATTTTTATTGCTTTATAATTGAAGAATGGCAGGTACTTGGCATACAAGCTAATATTCTTTGCTCCCTCATGACAGCCAAAACTAATAAATTTTCCTGTTCTTCCCTCCTGATCCTTATCAGGGCCTCAGAAACCTCTTTACCACATTGCTCTAAGCAGCTACTACAAGTTGGTTGGAGTTAGCAAAAGAAGTTAAAACCTACTTAGCAATAAATTTGCTGTTAGTCACAGTGAAGCCAATGAGCAAAGCCCCTTGCTGACTTGTAGGTTTGATCCAGAGAGCCAGGGCAATTACCACAGAAAACCATGGCTGGCCCTCTTAGAGAAGGAAGGAAAGCTTTGGAATCTCATACTGGCATTTAGGAACTCAGGTGTGGAAATGACATATTTTATTTTTGCTCACAACTTTTTGACCTGAATTCCTAAAGCTTCACTCAGCTACAAGGCTCCAGAAAGCAGAAT